AACACTTCACTTCAAAACTTGGAGAACTATAGATTTTTGATTTCTGAATTAAGTTTCTAAGTGCAAAGAGAGCCGTGATAGAATTATGATGCCATATTTATACTTATTTTTAATAATATTCCTCCAAATATGCCACACAAATATGATTTTTTGTATAAATGAAATTCATCTGGCAATGGAAAAACAAACCTTACAATTGCACGTGTACAAATACAAGTACTGGGAATCAAAAGAGAGAAAAGAGAGAGAAAAAGTAATAGATGACACGCAGAGTATAAAAGCGCAAACCAGGGTAGCCAACCCTTTTTTGAGATTTCCCCGATTTCGACAATGAAATTCTCCGATTTCGCCCGAAATTTCGTAAAATTCTCGACCCATAGATATCTCTTTATTTGCAAAAGAAATTGTATCTATTTTGATATATTGCTGGTCTCTCTTTTTATTTTATTTTTATGTATTCATAAACTAAACCAAACTTTTATAAAGTTAATTAACAAATAAAGAATAAAAAGTTTTAGTCGCACCAAATTTGCCAAGTTTTCACAATTATTTTATTTTTCGGTTATTTAAGTTTAGTTTTTTTCTATAAATATATAGTTCATTTTTTAACGAAACCTGTATAAATCCAAGTTTCAAACTTTGTGCAATATTAAAAAAAAAACTTACATAAAAATTTCGAACTTTTCATTCAAATTTTTTTTTGAAAGATTTTGAGTGCGCAGTTTCATAACTCACTCAATTCTAGTGCAAGTTTCATCAAGTATCTAAAAATTTTCGTTTTAGAATTTGTTTTCCGAAGTTGTTGCGGAATTCCTTATAAAAATAAATTGTGCTTATTCGTTATATGTAGGCAAATGCGACAAAGAAATTTCTAAAAAATAAACGGTAATTTTTAACCATTTGCAATCTACAGTAGTCGTAATCGTTAAATTTTAGGGATTATAATTAAAGTATTCGCAATCAAGCATGTTATAATTACAAGTACAGTCAAAGCAAAATATAATCGTAATCGCAAAGTGCCCAACTCTGTTACATATTTGCACCAAAACATTTTTTAAGAGAGTGTCCAGGTTTCCAAAGTATATATGATTAAAAGTTTGTGTGAGCGCCATTTTGAAGATTTTTTGTTAAAGATGGAGTTATGTATCTATTTTAAAATAAAATTTTCCGATTGATTTTATCAGCGTTTGAATAGCCTGTAGTCAAATGTACTAGTTGTAAACTACTTCACAACTAGTATGAACCGCTTGCACAACTAGTCAGCCAACTATCTTTTTTCCATACAATCAACTGGTATTTTTAACATGGGGATGTCCTACGAGATGGCAGTTGTCAGATATCGGTCAGAAATATACCCGTCTCATACTAGTGCAAAATAGACCAAAAAATATTAAGGACCAAAACCACTACTTTGGGAGTCAAAAAATAAAATGAATTCATGTATATACAACATCTATGTATAAAAGCAGAAATAAATACATAAATATTCCAAACATTCGAACATAAATTTAGATGCATTTTTTATTAAATATTATTAAAAGTAAAAACTTTCAGGTACAATAAATACTATATTTTTATCTTTTTTAGTAATATTGAATATGCAAGAGAAAACATTTTAGCTAAAAATAAAATGAATACTTTAACTAATTTTTGTGTGAACTAAAATAAAAATACAAGTTTTCATTAAAATAAATTAAATTCGTTAGCTTTGCACATTTCAATCTATGCTTTTTAAAAATGTTTAAAATTTGAGATTTGGATAATAATAAAAGAAATAAATAAATAATTCAAGCAGTTATTAAATATTCCTATTTTTTGTCTATAGTTTGGCTTTTTGATTGATAATAACAATTAATTAAATAATTATATTAATCGTGTAATTAAAAAAGGTCAAAAATAACTGAAAATTATCAAAAATAACAAAATAATGATGTAATTAGAATTAATGAATTAATTAAAACTTTTTTAAAGTAATTAATTATTATTCATTAATAAGGTGGTAATATCGGTAATTAATCATTAAATGGTTATCCAAAAAAACATGCTTCAATTAATAATCAATATGATTTAACAGGCCTGGTATAATGGAATATGTACTTGGTTACAATATACCCAAATAAAAGTTATAATATTTTGTGTACTTTATTGTATTAAACTGTCGAAGTCAAATAAAACGGCATGAACAAATCATTTTGTACTTGGTACAAGTCTGGTTATTTTCGAACTAGTTCGGTTTCTGTCAGGAAATTCTAGTTGTAAACTAGTATTTTTCCTGACTAGTTTGGGGTTTCACTGCAGGGTATCTCCTTTAGTTTCCGAGATATTGAGTTAAAAGTATCGGCAATTTAGTACAAATTTGTATCACATTCATGCCTTCAACATTGTTGGCAAATGAAGAATACAACAAAAATTTTATTTAAGAAAATCCTTCATAAACTCAAAAATATATAAAAATAAACAATACAAACAAAATAATTTAAAAATGCCATTAATTATTTGTCGCAACTTCGGATAAAATCTATCGTCGCGTTTTTGAGAAACTACATTTCAAACTTCAATCACGATTTTGCCAAATCTGCCAAAAGTAACGTACGGTAATCTTCTATCCAGGCCACAAAATGTACATCACCTTTTTCCGTTTATGTTAAATAAAATGCAATAATTCGGCATGTAGATACACACATATGTATGTACATATATTTAACTAAAAGTATATTCTTACCGGTAAAGGCGATGTGCCAAAAGTAAGTTTTTTTCCTACGGGAAGGACGGATTTATTTTAAATTTGGCATAAACATTGACAATGTCCTAACATAAAATGTGTACCCTTAAATTCCCCGTAAAGGGAAATATTAAGACAGGCTCAACTAAGATTACTCTATGAGTACGAGTATCAAAATGATTGGGATCTAGTATTTGGTATAACAGATTGAGGAGCAGCATTTGATAGCATTATGTTAAAGCTTGTATCACGAAGGCGGGCCACAAAACCTATTCTTAAAATACTTTGATGAATTATCAACGTTTAAAAAACTTTCATACTTTCATATCTAAAGTGCTATCTTGTTCCACAAAAACTCTAAAAAACGTTTTTTATTTTCTTTTCCTTTTACAAAGTTAATCTCTTACGCCTATGAACACTTACAAGCGCGCGCAAAATATGTGTCACTTGTATTTTATTGTATTATCTTATCTGCTTGAAAAGCATTACAGCTCCATGTTTACCGTGCCACTTACTTTTTATTCCAAACACATTCGTCCTTTCCGCAACATTCCGCCTCCTTACGGAGTTGACTTTCGTGCACTTTCTAAACGTTTATTTATCTTCGTAAATGTTTTAGCATATTTTTCGCGCAAATATTGTTTTCGCTGACAATTCCTTCTACTATCGACGGCGTTAAATGCTGCTTACTACAATAAAGCTGCTTAGCTGTTATTGTCATGCATCCGCTACTACCAGAACGTTCTCTGCTACTACATCCTATTTGTAACACGTCAGATTTGTCGGTAAACCCTTTGAAAGGGACAACAACGGTTGCGCACATACAATGAGATAGGCACTGAAAGATTATTTTTTTTTCTTTTTCATTTCTTCGATATTTTCTTAAATTTTTTGCTCTTTTCAAAAAACATTCAAAAGCCTTTTATTCTTCTTCTTGTATGCCATGATTGGCGTTGGGGAAAATACTTACATACAAACATGCATTATTTTAGCATGTGCCGCTTTAGCAAATATTGTATTTGTATGCTTCGTCTTCCAGTTTATAAAAATCACTTACACGTGAAGCAATAAAAACAAGGCTTGTGAAATATGCCGCTTAGCTTGCCGCATAAATCGGTGGTGTTGCTATTGCTACCGTTAGATTTTCCTCTCCTTTTGAATCCCATATATATACTCATACATACATACATATATAGATGTGTTTTGCCCTTTGTACTTGCTGCCATTTATTAACATACTTAATGTTCTCTTTCTGACTTGAATATTTACTTAAGCAGTAAAAATGTGCGATATTGTCAGATATGTGAGTGGGTCAGTTGTACACGTCTGATATCGATTCAGATTTGAAGAAAATGAATTTGAAGTAGAACTTATATGTATATAAGGCATTTTTTTCTTGAGACCTGTAAATTTATTGAAGACAGTTTGATAGAACAAAATGTCTTTTTAAATTCTAAAGCGTCCTTAGGACCTTATGATGATTTAAAAAATCTGTGTTCGTATGGAACAGTAGCTTATGTCGAAAGGCTGGCTTTAGTATAATGCGGCATTTGCAGCACACGATTGCGAATGGCTCACTGGCGATGAGCCGTTGAAAAACTTTTGGCAAATTAACGTGCATAAATAGTTCCGATACTAGCAAGTCAATATTTTTATTAAGTCTCATCAAAACATTTTTTGTCGTTTAAAGAATGAAGGGAATGCCGCTTTATTCTAAAGCCAGCTTGCCGACATAAGCTACTATTCCATACGAACACAGAAATAGAAAAAATTTATATTTCCTACGTGCAGTTTTATAGATTTTTATTTTGGGTCATTCCAGCGAAGACGACCTAGGGTTGCCAGACATACTGAAATTTCAACTCCTGTATTGATTTTTACCATTCCATAAATCAGTACGCTAATGTCCTGAACTTACAAAAAAAAGTACTAATTTTCACTGACTTTTAACCCTCCGATGAGTGACAGTGCCGATGACGTTAGATTCGTGAGAAGGTCCTTAGGGACCTACAAAGAGTTGCTCGATGTTTCGACTGTACATGTTGTCTTTTGATTAAATTAACGTCCTGCATATATATTAGGAATGAAATAATTTGAAGAACAAGTGAAAAAAAAATCAAAACATGAAGACAAGTAACTTGTTATTTCTTCTAAAATTGTACAAGGTCCCTAGGGAC